AGCAATCGTATATGTTTATAACAGTTAAGGCAAGACCAATATATATATATATCTGGTCTGATCTAGTTTGTGGAATATTAAGATGAGCAGTTATAAACATACCATACATACGCAATTGCTATTATGTTACTTTCTATACACATTACTAATATATATATATTGGTCTTGCCTTAACTGTTATAAACATATACGATTGCTGGAACAGCGCAAATGCGTACGTATTTTATGTGCATTTGCGCTGATATGACAAGAAATTATTATGCATTTTAACCTGTATATGCTAATTCGTACTTAATTTGCGGTATATAGGTTGAAATGCATGGTATTTTCTTGTCATATCAGCGCAAATGCACATAAAATAAATACGCATTTACACTGTCACAGCAATCGATTGCCGCACGTATCGCTTTTAAAGGTGAATGCGTACTTGCGTACCAGTTATCAACATGTAACAATTATATTCAATCAACTGCTAAATTTATTTAGACAGCAACAACAAACAGAATGAAATAAATAAAAAAAGTCAATCAACACACTCATGTGCCAGTAATTTAATCTTTCTCATAACAGACAGCATTAACCCGGAGGCCCCGCTGGTCAACACAGGCCTGTAAAAATAATTCCATGTCCTCTTGGATCTGAAAACCAAAGAGGAATGTCTCCTTAGATTCTATATTGTCTCTTTTCGCTAACAGAGTGGAAGTTTCCGGTAGAGATCACGTGTTTCCTGTGGAGCTCCACTTTACGTCCGTATAGATGAGATCCACTTTACGCCCCTTAAAATCACGTATTTCCCGTGGAGGTGACGTATTTCCGGTGGAGCTCCACTCTACAGGCGTCTGCAGCTGGACACTCTTGTGTGCACTCTTGCGCAAACTCGCAATGCATCTAACAGTAATGCATTGCGTCAGGATCAGAATGCGTTGCTTTAAGCCAGCGCTGTAAGCAAGTCGAACGCACCCAATGACCGGACTGGGGAAACAAACTGAAACGCGGACTTGATACAAAGGACTAATGACCAGAAACAGCTGATCATATGGGGATCCCACATGAGGTTAACGAGGGGGCGTGGCACACGGAAGGAGCGGACGATCGGGGCAGGACAGGGGTAATGTTGGGATAAGATCTTTATCGTTTTGGAAGCCATTAAGAAAAAAATGCTCTTCTTGTTTTGTCCTGTTCATTTTGTGTTTAAATGCTAAAAACATATTTAGGTGTAATTTTTTTTTTTTTTGGGGGGGGGCGGTTACCAATTAATTGGTTTTCCATTATTTCTTATGGGAAAAATTCGATCAGAACTCGAACTTTTTAGGATTCGATCCGGGGTCCGGAACGGATTAAGTTCGAGAACCGAGGTACCACTGTATTACAAAAGACATTTTTCACTTCACAGTTAATACTATTACAGAGGTAATATGCTGTATTATTCTGTTTAAAGTTAGAGCAAGTATATTTTGTATTACACATTACTAGGGCTGTTACTATTTTGTGTATTTTTGTATTTTCAAATTACTCGTATTTTAATTATACATTTTCTCACACCTGTATTTTGTTACATTTGATGAGCAAGTATTTGTAACATTTTGATGTTTTTGTGCCCATCTCTGTTACACATTTAGCATAACAAAAACACATACGTTCAATTTATCACGTGTCGGCTGTCTCGAAACCAAAGTAAATAGGAAGTCCATTCCTGGCTAATGGAAATAGCTCTCAATGGAGTTACCCAACTTGGACTGGCTGGCTCATCGACACAGTGTTGCCAGCTAGAATTAATTTCTAGAAGATATGCAAGAATGAAGGGTGGGGGTAAGGCTTCCAAGAGACCACTCTGCGCTACTAGTATTACTGAAACATATATGTTGAGTTGAGGCTGCCGACTACTTCGCCTAGTGGATTGACACGCACTGTACAGGAGCGAAAGTGTTTGCTTTCCACTATATTTCGCATTATATGCACAGTAATGAGAATTCTTCACGCTGAGGTGATAAATAGGTATATTTATTTAGCAAAACCACAAAACACAACACAAAACACAAAACACATTTTACACGAGGGACACCGTAGACCGTGTATCGTAAGCTACCGTAATTGCTATTATGGTCGCTGATGTTATTTAATATATAGCCTAATGATGTACCTTTATTACACACATCGATGAGATGTTTCATATAACATTTGCCATAAAAAAAACAAAATTTTATAACATTTTAATGATGGCTTTAATCTCGGTAATTTTGAAATGGGTAATTTCTGTACTTTTCGGCATGCTACAGTATGTTATGTCGCTGAGCTCTTCCACCTCGGCGAAACGGAAAACTTAAGATGCACCTGCTGCTTTTACCAGCGACAAAAAAATCAGAGGCAAAAAACCCATATAAAAGACACGACAATATAAGACGTGTCGGTAGCTGACAAGCGTTTGTCATCCCAAATATTTCTCACATTTTTACGTAAAACCTCAACCACCTCAGTGACATTTTTTTCGGCTCAGTCTCAATTAGAGCTGTCAGACCGTAAGAATGCACAGCAAAAATAAGATAAGCAGAGTAGCCTATTTTACACAACCAACAGCATTCAGCTGAATGCAGGACACACGAGGAAACAGATGCTCAGCCCGTAGTAATAAAATATACATAAAGTACTCTACATTAGCTTAATATTATTTATTTATGAGTAGCAGTCTCCATCTTCACCTATGCTGCCTAATTCGCCTTACTGCTTTAATTTTCCCATAGTGCAGCAATTATAAGAATTATACATTATAATAAGTCACCCTTCGTGAAAAACCACCGCTCATTGTCCTAACACACAGTGCATTTTCTCATACGGGCAACTTATAAGTGCAGGAGTATGAAACTGCTTTATGTTCCACTGATGGAAAGTTTTAAAGTGTCCGTCTCACTGTGGCAGCTACTTTTAAATGGATACTGATCCTCGGAAACGCTATTTCGCAGTTTTTTCCCCAGGATAAATATTCATTTTTGCCTTACGGTTAACATATCCCACTAAAACTTGCATAGACTAAATGACCCCTCTTGTCAATGAAAGCATATTCGTAAATGCCACGGGTAGTTTTTCCAAGTAATCATGGTAGGAAATCCGTTGATTAAAATTAAGCATAATTAGTCTCACAGCTACATTTTTTTTCTAATTCAAATCGCTGACAGCTTGACGGAAACATTTTGGCACCTCATAGGCCTATAAAGCACAGAACTGCACTTTCTACAAATAATGTTTAGAAGGAAACTACTCGTATCAAAGACCTACTGGTTTAGCAATTTAAGTCGATGTGTTCAACTACCCAACAACTATTTAGGCTCCTAAAGCGTTCTAAGTAGGCAACAATACCAGACGAATAAGCTATTTTCCTGACATTTATTAAAAATACGTTTGGTATTGTTTGTTATGTGTTGGGTCTTACCTGAAAAGTTTCTTTGGTTCACTTTGTCTAGCTGGTATGTAGGGTATAATCCTGGGTATAAAATTATCCTCGCTCTCCCCATTCTCATGTTTGGCGATCGGAACTGTATTTGGTTTTCTAGCGCCGTTCAGATCGCCCCCCTGACCTAAAATACGCTCTTTTTCCGACTTCTCGTGGAAATCGCAGGGGTCTCTCACCAGTGACACGCTCAGTAAACTCAGGGTAAGTCCTAAGGAGATGCCAATAGCTACTTGCGCGACCGGCCTCAGGAGAGACAACATGGAGAATCTCATTGCTTTACATCGACCGCGGCTCTCTAGGTGGGATACCCAAGACGAAGCCGCTATAAAATCGAAAAGAGTTGGTCAGATCCAGGGGAAAAAAGTTTACAGTCTAGCGGTACGGTTTGCTAACAATCGAGACATTAATTTAAGCTTTATTTTAAGACGTGTCAGTGGTCCTGGCTCCTCCTACATAAAAGCTAACGTCAGAGAGTCCATCCGCTGTTTATCCTTCTTGTTTCTTTTGCTCGATCCAGAATCATAGACTGTAGCTCATTTTTTTGTTTCCCGAGCTTATAGTATAGGCTAATGTAAAGTATTGTTACAACCACAAGGTTATGGACGCATTTAATCATAATTTAATTAGGATATACACATTCCAGTGTTTCCCCTAGGTTTACAACTTTGGTGGGGTGGGGGGTCAGACGGACACCGTGGGGTTCATGTGTTTCTTTTAATGACAGTAGTCATGACAGTTGAACTAAACATCAGAACATTTCTTTTATGACAATTATTCACTAAGTGTGCAGCTTTTGGTTGACGCGCGCTCTCTGTCCGCTGGTGGGAGTGTGCTCACCTGTGTGTGCGCGCACGTATCTGTGCGCGCGCATCGGGGCGGAACTCCGCCATGCGAGATACAGAGAGCGGAAGAGAATTGTAAACGCGCGACCGTGTAGAGACAAACATGACAAGCTGTTGTGTAAATAAGATAAATAACATAAGGCTATTTAGTCCTTTAATAAAAGGACAATGTATAGACCTGTTCTATAGGAAATGTAACCTTAAATGACTTTTGTTGTGATCTGGGGCTATATAGAAAATAAAATTAACTTGAGCCACATCTGTTCTCAGGTATATACCAGGACCAGGTGTGGCTCATCAGAAGCCAGGTAGGATAGAAAACCTACTGGATAGTAGCTCTCCAGGACCGGAGTTGGAGACCCCTGTTCTAGCCTAATTTAAAATAAACGACTTTTAAGCTTCTTTGTGCTGTGCATAACAAAATTTTACATATTCAACCATAACATTTTGCCAATTAAGCCCCTTACCTCCCTTCCCAGTCAGGTGGATTATGAATAAACAGATTCAAGACATCTAATTGCACAAATGACCTCTGTTCTGGAATAAGGCTTTGATAGTTTTGGGCAAGTATTAGGCCTAACCATTCAAAATAGTAACCCCCCCCAAATAAATAAATAAAAAACACATACACAAAACATAAGATTTCTTTGTTTTTATGCCTTTTGCCTTTTCATTTTATATAATCTGAGAGCTATTGCATAATTTGCCATTGTCAGCAATTTCCTCCAATACCTCATATACCGCATATACCTCTTATATACCACATATACCGCATATACCTTTTATATACCGCATATACCTCTTATATACCGCATATACCTCTTATATACCACATATACCGCATATACCTTTTATATACCGCATATACCTCTTATATACCGCATATACCAGGGAAACCGCCAGTACAAAATAAAATGTTTATATGATCCACAATTTTTGAAATATAGATTTGGAAAAAGGCTAAATTGCGTGTTGCAACCCCATCGCACCAGGTCAGCAAATTTTACTGCCAGTTTCTAACTCTGGTTTGACAGTTTTACCACTAACACACAGCACACACCAACCCCCTCCCCGGGCCAGCAAGCTAACATTTGGCTTCGGGACGGCATCTAATTTTTAATACCCGCCATCCTTTTCAGATATACTGTGGTATGCGGTATTTTACAAAACGTTATTCTGGTAGGCCTATTTCCCAATAAATGCAGGGATGCAATCACAACACAGCCTGCTCGGTTTGCAGGATAAAGTTTGCACCTTTCTACAGAAAACTGGACTTTGGAAGAGGAAGCTTAACAAAAGAAGTATTGAAATGTTCCCACTCCTACGCCAGGAAATTATAACGTCCAGTGCTACTGCAGACAGTGTTTGCCATATAATATTGTCGCACCTGAAAGAATGAATTCAGTGACTCTTGCCCAGAGCTGGATAATCTTCATCTAAACTGGATCAGAAAATCGTTTGTGTCAAGAACTGATGATGAGAGTCTTAATTTGATGTCACAAGAGGAATTAATTTAAATTGCCAATGATTAAAGTTTGAAAATGCAATTTTCTGCCCACCCAGCCAGAAATGTGGAGTAATCTGAGAGACGAATACCCAGAGAAAAAGTCGCCCAATGGCTCTTGCCCTTTGCAATGATTTTAGGTTGTCCCCAAGCCAGCTGCAACCCAGAGTGGACAAACTATGCAAGAATATTTAATTTGTTTATTTTATTTGATTGATTACTTTTTGTCCTGAGCAGTCTGATTTGTATAAAGTGCCATGTTTTATATAGTTAAGCGGTTTCAGAAAATGGATGGACAGATGGACATGCACCTAACAGGTTTATACAGTGGTCTATAAAATAGGCATGTGGTCTATATGTGGGCCACTTGTCAGTTTTCTCTAAGGGGGCGGGTAGTGGGTCCTCCGCCTGAGGCAAGTTTCATAGGGGAGAAAGTAGGGAACCCCTGTTCTAGCACAAAAAATGGGCAGTTCCTACCCCTGTTGCGGGCTCCTGCAAACAAGATCTGCAGTGTCTGGTGTAATAGCCTGACTAAAGTGAATTTGACTTGATTTCCGAGTCGTCTTGATACGGGCATCGCTACTGTTTCAGATGATTTGAAAGCATCACAATAAATTCTACCTGATTCTTGATTTAACTTGTAAAGAAAAAAATAACTATATATAAGACTTGCATTTAAAACATGTCAAGGAAACGGCACGTTCAAAAGAGAAGCTTAAAGCTGCACTATTCACCACCAGGGGGCAGTATTTACTTAAACGTGCTGTGTGGAGCATGAGTCCGGTTGGGAGTGATTTCCAAATTACTAAAATTTGTTTAGTTTTCTATGTGTTGATATCGCAAATGCTATATTTATAATTGGCTATTGAAATACGAATTGAATTGGCTTTCAGACAACAGAAAAAATAACAATGACAAAATCTTTATTCCTCTTATCCAAAATCTTTTCGTCATGCAAACTCCATATAAATGCAATTTAAGCTCCTAACCCTGGAGATGTGAGGCCACTCACAGTGCCACTCACAAAGTCACCATGTAAGCCATAATTATGTAGTAATTTAAAATATTATTATATTCAAATGTAATGTCCCTATGACAATCTGATTACAGAAAATAATTTAAAACAAAGATATTGCTAAATAATGTCTTATGTATATCACCACAGCAGAAACTTGTAGTGTAGCATAGAGTAAAAGGGCCAGGGAAAGTTGATGTAATTATCAACATAGCATGTTATCATTCAGTAATATCAAACTGTAACAATAATGAAAATAGATCGTCTCCCAACAAGGACACATTTAATAATACTGAACAGTGACCTTGATTCGGGGATATGAGTTTGATGGTTTTCTTATAGCTACATAATTGACACGGATGTACCTGAAGGAATGCTGTCTATTTCGTGGAATATGTTTGAATCTGAAGTAATTTGTTATTTGGGAGACGACAATGAAAAGCGGTCTGATCCGGTGTCGGATGGTATACGATTGCAAGGCTGTTGCCCGGACGGCAATCTGAACCCTCAGGCGGGCAATTTGTTCGGCATATTTTAAGACTAAGCTAACACCCCCTTCCCCCCGTCACAATGGTGAGTTTGAAAATTAATCCGGGATATATTAGGTAGGCTGTTTCTGGGGATATTTGCTACGCTACAGCTTGCATCTACTCGCAGATCTGATCTTTGAGGTTTGCACCACCTGTCTGAGGTTATGCAATCTTACCTTGGTCAGTCAGTGGCCCTGCTAGAGTTTCCCTTAGCAAGGTTCCTTTAGCTGAGTTTAACTGAGCCCAAATCCAGGTACAGCTGTATAAATGCTTCCCAACCTGTTTTTTCAGATGATCCTGTCACCCAAGCAACAAACCCTCAATGCTGTTCCCAGCCACTAAGTAAAACAGTGGAAATGGGTGGGTCTAGCACTGAGAGCAGACCATGTCGATCCAGTTTCGGATCTGGTTTCTGGTTAAGCACAGCTACCGCCGTCTGTCTGAGCTTAACACGCGCCCTAACATGTCCCTTCAGCTCACATAGCTTGTCTTTGATCTGTGCATCCTGGGTTGCTCTTCAGGCTTTCAGGGAACATCTTCAGATGGCGGTGATCCCCAACTGGACGCACAGCAGCTGATAAAAAGCAGATGGATGGATGGATGTATGGATGGATGGATGATAAACTGGGCATAACGTAGACCAGAGCATAGCGTCACACTGGATGAGTGTTCTCAGAGTAACAGGTCTACTGAATCCAGCAATCCCATAGCTACAAGACTTCATTTTCACACAAATGGTGCATGTCAGATTAGAAAGTGAATAACAAGCATGCAGTAATGCCTTTAACATTATTTAGGAACTGGCAGTAATACTGTAACATTTTCCCCTGAGAAGTAACTGAAAGTTTACTGGATGAGGGCATCATGGACATGGCTACAGTAGGTGAGGCGTCTAGTGTAGGTCAGGCTGCTGTCAGATCTCTTACTGGTGTGTTGGAAGAATCACAGAAGCTTCCCACTATTCCCCACCCATAGGCCCCACGTTTGTCAAAGCCAGTAAGGGAGCGCGCGCACACACACACACACACACACACACACACACACACACACACACACACACACACACACACAGNACACACACACACACACACACACACACACACACACACACACAGCCAGTGCTCTAAAAAGAAAGCACAGACACACTTATATGTACATCCAGCTGCCCAAAAAGAGCAGTACAAACTCAAATGTAGGTGTGCAAAGGTTTAATGCAATAGGTGACATCTGTCCCAGGTATGATTACAGGAAGCAGCAGGAATCAACAAAATTCAATACAACTTTAAATTAAAAAAATCTGATGTTAGCTAGTGATGTTTTCATGTGGAATAGCACTGTAGTTAACACCTGCAGAGTTAGGGGGTCCTAATCCTGCCCTTGCTGTGTGTGTCCATGTTCTCCTGTATTCTCCGGCTTCTTCTTGCAGTTCAGAGACACATAGTCCAATGCGCTGGTATTTCTAAATTGCCCATTGCGTGTGAGTGTACCCTGTGACAGTACCCCTGCCTTGTGTGCTGGATTAATCTCCAGAGCCCCCACAAACTCAACAGTGGACTTACTTTCACCTATTACACATGATCTGGGATTATTTTGATATGTTTGCAGCATCTAAAACCTGACCACCGCTTATGTGGATGAGCTGGCAGGTTCACTAGCCACTCGTGCTAAGAGAGTCCAT